TCGAACCGCCCACCCTCCAGGCCTCACTGCACCGCCCTCCATCCCCTCACCCTCCATCACTCTCCCCTCGTCCCCTCACCCTCCACCGCTTTCCCCTCATCCCTTCATTCTTCATCCTTCACTCTCCATCCCTCCCCTCCACCGCTCTCCGAGACCTCATCTCTCGCCCTCCATCCCTCGCCCTCCATCCCTCGCCCTCTCTCCCTTCTCCCCGCTCACCGCTCCCTCCATCCCTCGCCCTCTCTCCCTTCTCCCCCCTCATCGCTCCCTCCATCCCTCGCCCTCTCTCCCCTCTCTCCCCTCTCTCCCCTCTCTCCCCTCTCTTCCCTCTCTCCCCTCACCCTCCATGGCGTCCTGCCGCAGCCGGCGCCGGCCGATGACGAGTCGCACACGCGTGCGCACAGCGGCGCTTCCCGACCTGGCCGCAAGGCGGCGTTGCCGCCCGCCGTGAGGGCGGCTGCCGTAGCAGTTGGCTTTTTCCTGCTATTTCCTGCTCTTGCGCTGATAAATTCTGACCTGGGAGGCACTGAACAGCAGCCATTCCGTTTCCTGTGACGGGGGAGGTTTTTAAAAGCGCTGTCAATCCCCGTGGGGCGCGGTGGCGGACAGGCGCTGAGCGCTGCGGCAGCACGGTCATGGCAGCGTCCTCCCCCAGAACGGCAGAGTCGGCAGCCCGCCCTCACTGCCCCCTCAGCCCGCAGCTGCTGGGATTCGCAGTGCCACCTCTCCTCCTCGCCTCTCTCTTCTGTAGCCTCATTTGTTCAGGAGATCTGCCCCTCCCGGTTTCCCGGAGTGGCGCTGGAGCCGGCCGCCGTCCCGGCTCCGGGCCATGGCGGCGCTGCGCCGCTGCCCCTGCTGAGGTTCCGCCGCTGCCGCCTCTCCTGGCAGGACAGTGTCACTGGCACATTCCTCTCTCTCAGGAATTTTCATAGAGGTGCACAGGGAAAAGAAAGAGAAAGCAATTTCTATTTCTGCTCCTTGTTTTTGTCATGAGGAATGTGTTTGGAGGATTGTTTACATGGGGTGATTGCTTGATTGGATTCTGGTGAGGATTGTTTGAGCCTGATGGCCAACCCAACGCACCTGTGGCTGGACTCTCGAGAGAGGGTCACCAGTTGTGAGTTAGTTAGATATGGTGGTTAGAAAAGTAGGTATGTAGTTGTTGTATCTTCCTTTTTATAGTATATTCATGTATTTTAGCATAGTTATAATAAAGAAGTCATTCAGCCTTCTGAACTGAGTCAGACATTGTCATTTCTTCCCATTGGGTTTGCCTGCATTTACAACAGGAGAGAAGTTCTTTCCTAGTCCCACCCTGTCCTACATGGCCTCTCCAGCCACAGCCCTGGCTGCTGCTGCAGGGAGTGCCTGGCTCTGCTCTCAGTTGTTAACAGTGTGTCAGAGCTGTCCTGGAACTGCACACCTGGCAACATGAGATCTTGGGTTAAAATCAAGTTAAAACTAATCTCCTGCTTCTAGCAATCAAGGTCAGGACACAGGAAGATGCCACTTGCTGTGAGATTTACATGCTCTGACACATCAGGGCCTCTTTCCTTCTGGGACAGGACAAAGTCCTGCTCACTTACAAAACAGAAGTGTCTTGAAACCAGCATGGCCAATTCTTTTTCCTGCCAGCCCAGTCCCAACCCCTGCAGTTCTCTGCTCAGGCATAAACAAAGATACAGAAAATATTTATATTCTTTTCACATGGTGATATTTGCTTAGCAGATAATTAAGCACTGCTTGGTAAAGGATATTTGGGGAGGGAGTTACAGGGGCAGGGTATAGGAAGCATGATGGTTTTGTGGAGTGCTGCTGTGGGGCACAAAGGTACTAAAGTGATCCCTAACAGGGAATGAAACAGTAGATCTCTCTGGTTGTGTGTAAAGGAGAAGGGGCCAGTGTCTGCAGAGTATAAACATGAACAGCAGCTGGTTTTTATCACAGACCTCCAGGCAGTAAAGTATGTAACCACAGCAAGTGGATCTCTTGGTTTTACAAAGCGGGGACTCCTTGAGTTGTCATTGCTACTATGAGAAGATCAATTTTCATGAATGGAGTACCAGGATAAGTGCTATGGGTCTTTAGGGCCATATGAGTGCTCCTTCACTGGATTTATGCTGCAATTCTTAGGGCACTTCAGGGATTAATAGTCAAATCAGTGTTGTCGGTGCTGGTGTTGTAAATCCAATGATCCAGGCTAAACTGGCGCCTGGGGAAACCAGTTTCTTCCAACAGCTCTACATCTTCATTTCCCAATTTATCTTCAGCTATAATGTCTGAGGGAGCGAGCTCAGTGCGTTACTGTGTGTCCTGGCAAGAAGGCTCTCTGTCAGGAGTCGAGGCTCACATCAAATAAACATGACAAAGAATAGGTGAAGAAACTGAGAAACCACAGAATAGGCAAAGGCAGTTTGCAGATAAGAAAAAGAAGGTTCAGAGAAATGAGGAAATATGGGTAAGATGTGAATGTAAAGTGATATGGAAATATGCCAGCAAAAAACTAATGATTATTTTGGGATGTGCAGCACCCTATCTTAGTATCTTAGAATTTTGAAGCTTTTGACATAAAGCAAATCCCCTTGGAATAGGTTTGTAGTGATAAAGTTCCATGATATATATAATTAATACCATGTTATAGGTGCCAACATTGGTGTTTCTTATCCAATTTAATCTATATGGCTTTATTTATTGCTCTCCAAAAATAATAACATCCCACTCACACTTATGCAAACCCCCTTCATGGACACAGTCTAGCAGTGTGCCCTAGGGGAGGATATTGCTGTGCCTCTTGGGGCTGCTGAACTGCTGGGATGGGCAAGGACCCATGTGCAGGACAGGCTGGGGAGCAGCAGGGTCCTGGGAGAGCTGGGTGGCTCTGGAGCAATTACACAATGATCTTTATTGTGACAGTCACAGAAAGCTAAAACCTGAGATGTGAAGTGACCAAAGACAGTATAATTAAAGATGTTTGTGTTACACAAGAATAGCAGATCAGGGATTAAAAAAATAAAAAAGAGTAATTATGCACTGAGGCGAGAGATGAGCGTGAAGTTAACTGGTGTGTGCAAAAAGTCACTGCGCCGTAATCACTGCTATACTTTTGCTGACAGTGATGCAGGAAATAAATACTGTAATTCTCTAGAAGGACTGTCTCAGCAAGCATTTGAGCTCTCAAGATCAATATAGTTTATTCCTCTTGGCCAAATTGTATTAGCAGCTGAATTTAGTCCCTAGGGACATCTGTACTGGTGAAAATAATTTCTATTTAAAGCCCTCTGATCTGATTTCCTCTATCCAGGTAATACAATTCCCACCCCCTTCCCATGAGTGTGCTGAAGCAGCATCCATCCAGTCCATGCCAGCCCTGCCACCATCCCACAGCTCCTGCCGGCACCCAGACTTGGCATCCTGCTCCTGACATCTCCTTTGGGCCTGGGGGAGCTCAGTGCCAGCACTTTTAGGGCCAGTGGCTGACCATTCCCAACACAGCTCTTCCCTCCCAGCACTGGCTGTGCAGCCAGGACCCTCCCAGGGAGTCAGTCCTTGGTGATCCCTGGAAAAACCCATCCAGCAAAGGGTCATGTCTGGGGGTGGTGGGTGGGCATAGCCTGAACCTTCATCTCGTGTCAGTGTAGGTATGTATGCCAGAGGCAGGTTTGCAATATTTATGTGTGTAAGCCCAAACTCTTGCATTAGGTCCTCGGTTGACTGATTTTAGATTGCTGTGTTTGACTGATGAGCAGCATCTTTTGAAGTACCGTGTATCCCTCAAATGTGTCTTTTCCATATATTTTTCCATTAATTTTTCTGCTTTATCAGCTCGCCCTTAACTCAAAGCTTGTCATCGTGTTCTGCCCCCGCCCCAAGCTGATAAACCGTCCTTCCCAGCTGAAGGGTCATTATTTCCTTGCAGTGCTGGCTCCTCATCTTGAATTGCAGCTGCTGCTCCAGGGCACAGACAAAAGACTGGCTTGTGTGTGCCTGACAGAAACAAGAAAGCACGGGGAAGTACAATCCAAATAGATCTCAGTGGCACAGAAATCAAAACCAAATAATAATCCAAAAATGTTTTCAGAAAATCCCAATGGTTTAATAGCTGGGTTTTAAAAAAACAAAGTGAAAGGAGGCAGGTTTTTGGCAGGCTGTGCCCTGTCTCCACAGCTGCTCACACTAGAGGGCAGCCCGAGACTGTACAGTGTATTTGGAATGTCGTTCACTGTCGTAGGGTAAAAAGTAAATTATAAAACTTTACAAATAGTGTCCTCTTATGGAAGAAAAGTGCCCATTTGCAGCTTGGTTTATCATACAGAACTCCAGTTCCTCCACCTACCAGCCTCTTCTGCATCACAGTGTCAGTGAAAAGAGGATTGTGAAGGAATTCACGAGAGGAATTCACAAAGAGGATTGTGAAGGAATTCAATTTCACCACAGATTAAGGAGATCACTTTTTAAACACCAATAAATTCTTGTATCAATATAAAAAAACATATCCATCTTAAAATATTTAAAATATGGGCAACCCTAGAATACCTGAAGATAACTCCTGCAAACTACATACCTTGGCGCACAGACCAGTGCTAAAATAGCAACACTTGCTTCCCAAAACAGTAATGAGTAGTCAGGAAAGCTGAGGCTTTGGCAGCTGACATTTGCTTTCCCTGCATGCTGGGATCACATATGATCCAAACACACATCAGCATGACAGGCACCACTTCTGCTCCTGAACAGCTTGTATTTACTAATTAATACCAGCATTCATAGTATTCCATGACAGTGTCTCACAGTCATTACTTTGGTTATGCTTTGAGTCTCATTTAGAACTTGTTGAATATTCTATTTTAAAACTTAATTAACATTGGCTTATGTGTGATAGGGAGGTGTGATGCAAAAAATAGATTTGGTTTTGGTTAAAACTAGATAAAATTAATATAATTCAGTACACTTTGAAAATAATTCAGGTGTACTGAAAATAAAAGGTGTATGTTAAAATAATTTGTGTTTCCCTGAAGCATCTTTTGCTGTGTTTCCCAGCCTGTGCTGGGGCCAGAGGCAGGGGGAAGGCACCCTGCAGCTCAGGGGCTGAGCTGGGACCATGGGCACTGTCT